AGCTACAGAAAGAAGTATGTTAAAAATAAAACAACAAAATCGAATCAACAGCAGCAAAATTAGGAGAAAAACAAAAATTACAGACGAAATTACGATGATAGAGAGGCTTAAATGGAAATGGGTGGGACATCTAATAAGATATAGAGATGGTAGGTGGAGCGAGCGGGTCTTACATTAATTCCCTCGTCATGGCAAGAGATACCGTGTTCGACCTCTTAGAAAATGGAAGGATGATACAGAGGCAGTGGTGGGAAACCTGTGGACACGTACTATAAAAGATAGAGACAAATGGCACGAGATGGAGGAGGCCTGCATCCAACAATGGATGATTCCTGAACAGGGCACATGTATGTGACACACACATACACACACAGACACGCACACATACACACAGTTAAAGTTGTTAAAGTAGTTGTTTTTTATGTATTTGGTTATATATATAATCACCATTGAAGGCGTAAAAATATTGTTATTTTAACAAAATTCAATAAAAAAAATGCATATGAATTTAGCAAAGATTAGTAATAAGGTTTTAATATAATCCAAATAATTTTACTTTATAGTGGGATCAGTTTCCATCTGACCCCATAGCGCTAACATCGTTTGCAAGTAACAAGTATAATTTCCTTTAATTTCCGCTGTCAATATCCTCTGTAGAAAGCGTAAGCTCTAGAGCGGGCAACAACTTTTTACTGGCCGTAGAGATCTTAATAGAGTGAATGTTAGTTGAATTCAAATAATTGACTTGCAAGAAAATGTCTACGTCACCAACTCAAGCCGCATAGAGGTCGTGAAAGGCTCGTCTCGTTTTGTAAATATTGTTAGAGGCAATTTTATCAGTAGCGTATACTGCGTGTCATACATTGTTGCCGCTCGTAGCTGCTACGTAGGTCACTTAATAAGTTTTGAGATGTTCGAAATTTAAAAATGTAACGCACTCCTGTTATATGTTTCTAAAAAGCAAATTTATTTCAAAATAGAACTCCACAAGCCAATTGCTCAATATTAAAAAAAAAAGTTCTATTAATTTTCCTGCAACGCTTCCCGTGTTTTTCCTTTAAAACTTACGATGGATTTTAACCGTGGACATTTGCGCGCTATGATCTATTATGATTTTAAATTTGGTTTAACCGAACAATTAAGTTTACAACGGTTACAATAAGCGTTAGAGGACTCAACAACATTTTTTATGTGGTTTTCTGAATACAAAAGGACGACTGAAATCTTGGTGGACCCACGAATCACATATACGCACATCGAAAAGATTTTAGGGAAGTTCGGGGAGCATTCGTACTATCCTACATCTACATCTTGGAGCGAGGAAGCTTTGTTGTCGATGGATTCCTCGTTTACTCTCCAAAGCGAAAAACAGACTCGTGTGGATTGGTGCCATGATTGCGACTACGTTTTGAAAACGGGGCATCCAGGCGTGTTTCAGAAATCGTTACTGGTGACGTGACAAGGATCTATTAATATGATCCGGAAAATAAAAGGCAATCATCGGTATGGGTCTACTCAGTAGGACAGTTACCGACAAAACTGCAAAGACCTCGCAACGTCGGTAAAAAAATGGTGGCTAGATTTTTTTTGCGGGGCGTCATTTGTCGACGTGTAAGAGGAAGCCTGAAAGTAGCGCCAGTGGTAGAAAAGGTGAGAGGAAGCAGATTGGCATGGTTTGGGCATGTGATGCGGAGGGATGAAAGTCATGTCACAAAACGAGTGTTGAATATGAATGTGGAGGGACACACGGGCAGAGGAAGGCCGAATAAAAGATGGATCGATTGTGTGAAGAGTGATATGAGAATGAAAGGAGTAAGTATGGAAATGACGGCTGATAGAGAGGAATGGAACAAGAAGATTTACTGCGCCGACCCCAGATAATGGGAAATGGTTTAGAGAATGATGATGGGTCATTTGTCGACGTCAATGCTGGAAAATTGTAGGTCAGGCAACTCTGAATGGTATACTTCAGTTGCATTACCCAAAGCTTTTCAAGCGAGAGAGAAGACCAAAGACCAGGCTTCGGGGAATCATGCTGCATTACGATAACGCCTCTTTACATACCTCCTTAAGAACAAAGGCATTTATTGGTAAATCTGGTGTTGAAACTCTAAGTCACGCACCCTACGGCCCTGACTTAGCTCCTTGTGATTTCTTTTCGTTCACAAGAGTCAAAGCATAAATAAAAGACAGGTTTTTTTTCAAGCCGTGGCTGCCTACGAAGAAGCGATTTCCGACCTGTAAGATCAAGAGTGGCATGAGTGTGCGTTGCCGTTATGTTAATTTTAGCTCTGTGTATTTTTGTAATTTAAAAATATTAATACAAAAAAATATGAAATGAATTTTCCAAAAAACTGTAGATACCTAATAACGTGTACTTTAAAAAAATTTCGCATAATTTAAAAACAAAACTCAAAAAAAGTGGTAACTAGTGCATATACATAGGGGATATAAGTGTAAAAACCGTGAAAAAATATAATATAAATTATTAACAATCCTAGAAAAATTCTCAGGGACCCTTATGATTAAGAAAAAGTGATAAAATTAATAGTAAAGTGGTGATAGTGACAAGAAATTCCATTAAGATGATTCATAATTCCCGCCAATGACCCGTTAAAACATGTGACAAGAAACATACTCGTATGTAACTAAATTTTAATATTATTAAAATATCGTAGCCTTGCGGAATCAGCGTTATAGTCAGCATACATACCAGAGAACTCGTGGTTCAAATTTCCTTGCCGTCTTCCATACTTTGTTGTTTTTGTGGATTGATAATTGCTTTTTTGTTTAAAAATCGCGATAAGTGTTTGACGGAGCGACAGGATGGCAGTAAAATGTATAAAATGCAATAAAAGAATGTTGAAACGCGACTATTATTTATGCTGTTTCTTTTGTACACAAAATTACCATATTGATTGCGCATATGTTTCTGTTAAGAGCTTAAGAGGTTTTTATTGATGACCGAGGATAATAAAGCAAAATGGAAAAGTGACCAATGCTTCTCGAATGCGCTAAACAATTTGACAGTAAATGTTCCTATAAATAAATCGTTCGAGATCCATAATTTACAACAAATCAGTAGCACGCCATCTAGGACTAAAGCAAAAAGTCATCGAGCAAGCGCCGGCGATCTAATCACTCCAAGCCATCAAATCCATAATAGTTCACCAGCCTCGTCGCTAGATGGCTCTGCTAATTAAAAAGATGAGGAAGCCTATTATTAGGGCTGCCATCCGTCCGGGTTTCCCCGGATTTGTCCTAGTTTGGAAGACGTCCGGGGAGTGTCCGGGCGGCGTTTAAATTGTAGTCCGGGTTCAACCCGGACTACAATAAAAGTCCGGGTTTTCGATCAGATCCCGTTCCCATAATTTGATGATGCCTGGGACTTCGTTCCCGTGGGAATTTTTTAAAAACCTTTCTTATGCCCTGCTGCCATGCTTACGTTATAGAAAGAACCTCTGCGCCGAACTTTCTAAAGTCAAAGTCAAAATTATTCATTTATAAATTTATATTTCATTAAACAGTAAGTGTTACTAAAATAAGTCATTAACATTTTGTTTTGTAACACTATGTCGGTTCACAAAGGTGCAGTGAAGAACGGACAAGAAACTCGATCTTTGCTCTTTTACAAGTAAAAACTGATTGTGCAATTTTTCTTATTTACTTTCAATTGGTCTTTATATTTCCATGTGGTTTTGTCACATAATGGAAACCAATCTACATTTATGTAGTGATAGTTTGTTATTATTTCTAGTATTAAATTCATGCAGGTTACTGTTTGTCAAATTGTGCCTGCATTGCAAGAAATAAAAGAAACATAAGATCATTTCAAAGAGCTACAGAAAGAAGTATGTTAAAAATAAAACAACAAAATCGAATCAACAGCAGCAAAATTAGGAGAAAAACAAAAATTACAGACGAAATTACGACGATAGAGAGGCTTAAATGGAAATGGGTGGGACATCTAATAAGATATAGAGACGGTAGGTGGAGCGAGCGGGTTTAATTTATTAATTCATTATTATATGCGGCATTAATTCCCTCGTCATGGCAAGAGACACCGTGTTCGACCTCTTAGAAAATGGAAGGATGATATAGAGGCAGTGGTGGGAGCCAATCTACATTTATGTAGTGCTAGTTTGTTATTATTTCTAGTATTAAATTCATGCAGGTTACTGTTTGTGATAAATTGATGTAGATTCTGACGAACGTAACATTATGTTAGTAAAATGTATTGATGGTAGATACTATCATAATGTTTCTGCTTAAACAATTCGTTAAGAGTTTGGGTTGGGGTTTGATGAATTAGTGAGTGAGTCCTGAAATTTAATATATGAAGAATTTAATTAAAATTCAAAGAAATATTCATTATTTATTTAAATGAAAATTGACCGTAAATTGTCTGAAAAGACTAACTGATACTAGTTTTTGTAAGAGAACTACCGTATTTGTTTAAGTGTTACCAACAAGTTGAAATTCATAACATAAGCTATTTTAGTTTTGATTCTGTCTAGTCTATTTCAAATTTGGAGGCATTTTAATCTTATTGCTTTAAGAGTTGCCAAATAATTAACAACTATAATAATAATAATAATAAGCGCCTTGCCAAGAGGTGTGAGCGCCGTGCCTCGGCAGTACTCAGGGTGCAAAGGCCCGTTTGTGCTTACGGCCGTACAATGATACAATAAAACGGTGCCGGGCCTGGGCGTCTCCCGCTAATTGGCGCCCAAAATAAATGGATGATGGATAAGATTGGAAAACGTATAGGGCCGCTGCCTGGGGGTCGCCGGGGCGCGTCTGGAGCTGGCGCTGGACGCGGCAGCATGCGGGCCGCCAGCCGAGCGCGAGGAGCTGCAAGATCACCTAACAGCCCCCCGCATCCATCATCCCCACCAGACGGCTTGATGTCGGCAGGGTCCTCTCGGACTCGGCAAGCGGCATCCGCCGCTGGTGGAGTGCGCCGCATGCGTTGGACAAGGGATATGAACGCAAACGCAATGCGGGCGTACTATAGGGCGAAAGGGGAAGAAACTGCGGGGATAGCGTATCGGGCTCGGATGCATTGCTTTTTTGCTGAGCTGGAGCCGTCTATTCCCGTCACGGAACAAAACCTGGCAGACCGAGTTCGGTACATCATGCGCTCGAAAATATTCGATGATGCCGAGCTCGAACGACTACGACGTGAGGCCATTCCCTCATCGAATGAATTGGCTACGGCTGGGGATGAGGCTCCTCAGGCGACAGACCAGCTGCCACGCGTAGAAGCCGCCATGGATCTTCCAGTTGTGGGTGATTCAGACGATGATGAAATGGTCTCCCACGAACTAGAGCAAATGAGGAGTATATTGGAAGAGGCGATTTTAGAAACGCGCAGCATGCCTCTCGAAAATCGACCGCGACTTCCCCGCATATCCCCTAAGCAAGCGAAATCGGGCTGTCGTGAGGGCTCTTAACCCAATGCTGGTAACCTATTTGGAAGCCAGCCGGGACCTTTGCGAGACGGACTCAGTTCTTTTTGGCGCCGCAGTGGCAGCTTGCCGTATTATTGGCGCCAAACTTCCCATGGCTGGACGCGCTACTAAACAAAGTAGCGCCATCCCAGCCTGGAGAAAAAGAATTGTGGACCGTGTCGCAAAGGCAAGGGCCCTTATCGGCAGACTGATAAGCTTCAGGTCGGGTAATAATAGACCGAGGGTTGTGCGCACCGTTAGAATGGCGTTTGCTGGGACAAATATCAGTTTGTCCCAGCCGGATATCACGCAGAAACTAACGGAGCGCATAGACGACCTGAAGCAAAAAGATTGCCGCTTGGGGGAAGCGGATTCGCCGATTTACCGAGAGGTCAAGGCGGTTCAACCAGAATCGTCTCTTCCAGAGTGATCAGAAGAGGCTCTACAAATCATTGGAGCGACCAGAGGTATGTGGAGCGGGCCCAGGACCGGATCAGGCTAACACTGTCGCATTTTGGCGTGGCCTGTGGTCAGAGCCCGTAAACCACAGCGAGGGCCCTTGGACGGAAGTTGTGGTGAGTCAGTGTGCAAGTATTACGCCCATGGACTCCGTCATCATAACACCGGATGACGTAGCTGAGGCGGTCCGTAGAGCCCCGAACTGGAAAAGTCCGGGACTCGACGGACTGCATCACTACTGGCTGAAGGGGTTCATGGTGTGTCACGCTGTGCTCGCCCGTCAGTTTCAAGAGGCTCTCAACCAGAAGTCGCTCCCTAGCCTCTTCACTACTGGGATCACTCATTTGGTTCCTAAACCAGGTTACCACAGATCCGAGCAAATACCGCCCCATTACGTGTCTACCCACCATATATAAGACACTGACATCCATTTTGAGCGCGAGAATCACTCGTCACCTGGAGCTTAATCAGGTGATGTCACGCGCTCAAAATGGATGTCGGGGCGGTGGTCGTGGAACTAAGGAACCACTCCTCATTGACGCGGTCATTGGCAAAGTGGTGAAACGCAACCGTCGGAACTTCTCCGCCGCCTGGATAGACTACAGAAAGGCATTCGACTCGGTGCCCCATACATGGCTAAAGAGAGTCCTCGAGCTGTACAAGATAGACTGTACAGTGAGAGACTTCCTCGAGCAGTGTATGGGGCAGTGGAGTACGATCCTTTGTCATCTGGGTGAGCGGATGATGGCTGCGGAGAACCACATAAGGATAAGAAGGGGTATCTTCCAGGGCGATTGTCTGAGTCCAATCTGGTTCTGCCTCTCCCTGAACCCTCTCAGTACCTTACTGGAGGGATCCGGGAGAGGATTTCAGCTACGGAAAGGAGGGACAAAAGTGACCCACCTTTTCTATATGGATGACCTTAAGTTATTCGCCTCCAGTCGCTCCCATCTTGTGGAATTGCTAAAAATCACTTGTGAGTTTAGCAGTTCCATTGGAATGGAGCTGGGGACGGATAAGTGTGCGGTCCTCCATGTTGAGAGGGGAAGGGTTGCTAACTCTGAGGGCATAGATTTATCTATGCCCGTCAACTTAAGGACCCTTTCCGAGGCTGAAACATACCGATACCTGGGTATGTCACAGAACATCGGTATCGATGAGGCTGGTGTGAAACAGTCAGTTTGCGACGTGTTTTATGCACGCTTGACCAAAGTGCTTAATAGCCTTTTGTCCGGTGTGAATAAGACACACGCATATAACGGTTGGGTCATGCCTGTCCTTATGTATACCTTTGGCATACTCAGGTGGACTCAGATTGAACTTAACGCCCTGGATAGAAAAGTCCGCACTACCATGACGTCCCATAGGATGCATCATCCGAGATCGTCGGTAATGAGGCTGTACTTGCCGCGAAAGCATGGTGGGCGTGGCTTTCTAAGCGCGCTCACTATGCATAATCGTGAAGTGTGCAGCCTCCGTCATTACTTCCTGGCGAGATCGGATGATCCATTCTATAATGACGTCATTTCTAGTGATAAAGGGCTTACCCCTCTATCCTTGGCCAACGAGCAATGGCAGGACCCAGCAG